TTTAAAAAAATGAGCCATTTCTTGAAAAATACACAAGGCTATAGCCCATGGTTTTTTCCAAAAAATGGCCAAAAAATCACCCCCAATTTTTATTACATTTTCTGACACATATTGATGTACTTATGCTGTGTAGCAAGTTTGAGCCGATTCCGACTTCAATTTTTCAAGTTACGACCATTTCAAAAAATGAGCTGTTTTCTGAAAAATACCCAAGGCTATAGCCCATGGTTTTTTCCAAAAAACGGCTCCGAAATCACCCCCAATTTTTATTACATTTTCTGACACATATTGATGTACTTATGCTGCGTAGCAAGTGTGAGCTGATTCCGACTTCAATTTTTCAAGTTATGGCCATTTAAAAAATGAGCCATTAAAAAAAACCCCCTGTATTTTTTCTTTTTCATGTTCTTTTTTCCAAAAAATGGCCCCAAAAAATCAGCCAAAATTCTATCACATTTTTTGATACATATTAACGTTTTGGCTCCAAAATGATAATGATAAGGACAGAAATTATTATAATAATAAATTACTGTGCATCATCATCATTGATTCTCTTCTCAGTCAGTGCCAGGAGTATGTCAGCTTGAGATGTGAAATGATGTTGAGCTGATTTAACAAGAACTGAAGAGAAAGGCTCAGGACCACTACCACCGCCTATAAAATTAAAAATATAACAATAAAAATGCAAATTTATAAGCTCCCTTCCTCTCCTCACATGCTCCAGTTTGTTCTTCTCTAGTGTTCTTCATCAGTTCGTCTGAGCACATCGTAGCCAGTGATGGTTGGAGCAATTGAGAATTAGCTAAAGAACTAGCCAATGAACACGTCTTTTCATTCTCCTTTGCCAGACTAATGGCTTCAACATGGCGTCGATGATTAAGCAGAAGACACAGCGCAAGATGAACAGCACAGCCGCTACCAATCTCACTTAATGCACCACACACGTCATCCTGTAATGTTGTCATGGTTACACTTTGACCACACCCACTAATTAACTCACCAATAGCTTGTCATGTAGTTGCATCCGTACAAGTTTTAGTCCATGTTCGGCTAGTTATTAAAATAGTTAATTAGTAGTTATTAATAGTTATTAACTCACAAGAATGACTGAGACAACTGTTGACAAAACATTCCAATAGCATCCCATAATTATCAGAATCACCGGACGACTCCTAATTAATAAAATAATTAAAAATATAAAAATTTGAGCTCGTTTGATTTCTAAAATTTTCGCAAACATTCAAATGACATACTTAATTGTTCATTAATTATTCATTAATATCGTACCAGTATTCTTGAAGCTCTAGTGACGTTACCCCCAGCAGTATAGGCCCTAATCCGGAGGTGAGGGTAGGTATCATCTTTACACTCAAAGAGGTAACCAATGGCCCCCGATACCATACCTACTCGTTATCATAAAGGGTGTGGTCTAAAAAGGGCGGGGCCATACCTTCGGATAAGAGACGCAAAACAGCTAGTTCAAAAATTGATTCAAACTGGATCAACTGAAATAGAAAAAAAAGTAAATTTGAACAATATAAGCTCAGTCTCACTCTTGTATCAGTAATGTTTTGTGGTACAGTCCCGTGGTCTATGTTCCAGATCATGACCGCTAGATCAATACAGTCCAAGTGAAAACTTTTACAATACTGACGAGCAAGAGTAGCATCACCAGGAGGAGTGGCCACGTCCAATAAAATATACAATATCTTAAAATGACAGTCAGGGAAAAAACATTGATAATTTTTGCTTCAAAATTACTAATAACTATTATACA